CAGGTCTGCAGATGGACAGGCCAGGCTCCCAGAAAAGGGGAGCCACTGTGGGCCTGGGCAGGGGTGTGGGCAGAGATGGGTCAGGTGGACGAAGGTAAGGGTGGCTGGAGGACAGGGTGGCCATGGGGTGGACATAGGACTCGCACTGCCTGAAGAGTCCAGGTACCTGATGAAGTCGCTGTACTCCATCCAGAAGACACCCTCGCTGCTGCCGTGCGGCATAAGCTCGCCACGCAGGTGCCCTGGCCAGTGTGGCCACTCATCTGACCAGCTGCCGTTCCAGGAAAAGCGGCCCCATGGGTTCCGGAGACGCAGGAGCCTGTGGACCACAGGGCTGAGGGCTACGGCTCCCACCGCCCGTCTACATGCCCTGGCTGCCCATGGCTGGCCCAGCCCCTACCTGAAGCCCTGGACGTCTCGGACATCCAGGACGGAGTAGGCGTGGCGGGGGCGCAGGCCCAGGCTCTCGTAGGTAGCGTCATCCACCTTCATGTTGCCGCCCCCACAAGAGGCACCCATGAGGAACCTGTGCAGGTAGAGTGACCTCGTGAAGGGAGGCTTGCTGACCAGGAGGCCTTGATGAGTAGGGCCCCTTAGTAACCGGAGGCCTCACTCACTGGGGAGGGCTCAGTTACCAGGGGACCCCCGTTGGCCCTGGGGATAGGGGGTCCTCCCTGCCTGTGGGGGAGTGCACATCCTGGGGACCTAGGATAGATGGTGGACTCAGGAAGTACTGGCCCACCTCCTACACTGTGGCCTGAGAGCTCAGGGCTTGGGCTAGGGTCGGGCAGGCCTGGGTCCTGCCAGCTCAGGGCCTCCGCTCCCCAATGGGATGGGGCAGCAGTACTGCCCAATATCAGCTGAGAATAGGGGGTCTCGGCACCAATGAGCCTCGTCTCCCAGGTCTAGGGTTCTGCACCCTTGGAGACATCCTGGCCGGCGTGTATTGCAAATCAGAAAACAGCCCACCCCCACCAGGTACTCCGTGGGGCTTGCTCCACAGGGATCCAGGCAGATGCTGATGGTCATCCTGGGCCCAGGTCAGGTACGGGCTGATGGGAAGCATCCTGCCTATTCCCCCGGCCTGAGCAGGCTGGACCGCCAGCTGGCAGTGGGAGAGGACCAGGCCCCCTAACTGGCCAGCCCATGCTGGAAACATCTTATAAAACACGCGGTGTGGGTCAGAGGGCACTCGTCCCTGCTTCTCCCACCATGCCAGGCCCTGGCCTGGCCTTCCCCTCGCCTCGCCTCGCCTCTCCTCCCAAACCGCTGACCACCGCAACACCCGCCCCTCTTACCCAGCCTCCTTAGAACTCAGCATTTTGGCCCAGATGAGGTCAGTGTCAACAGGTTCCTCGCGGGGGTTAGTGGAGCTGACCTGCAGCGCCAGGCTCTCACAGGGGGCGCCGGTGAGCGTGGCCAGGCCTTCGATGGCACGCCCCGCCTGGAGGGCAAAGTAGGAGCCGTGCAGCTTGGCCAGAGCTTTCTCGATGAGGGCCACCCACAGCTGCTTCCGCTGGGCCTGCAGGAAGGGGCTGGTGTGAAGGGGCGCCGAAGCCCGACCCCCACCCCTGGCAGCCCACCACCCCTGGCAGCCCACCCTGCCACCTGCGAGAAGAGGAGAAAGCCGGCCTCGTCGCAGGGCAGCATGTCATCTACCAGCACTGTCGTCCACGTGCCGTCCTTACAAAGCCGCACCTGGTAGGCGCCCTCCTCGCACAGGCTACGCGTGACCATCACCCGCTCGACCAGATCGGGCCGCTCGGCCAGCACTGCCAGGGCACTCAGGAACCTATGTGGGGCCGGGAGCCTCAGTGGTGGGCATGACCAGACCGCCCCACCACCCAGCCCTGGCAGGTGCCCTGAACTCACCAGCAGTTCCCCAGCAGCCCCTGCAGGATGTCTGAGGGACGGAGAGTGTGGAACACAGACCAGGAAGTGCTGTGGTCCCTGAAGACGGAGCAGTTGATCTCGTGAGGCCGCAGCCATTGTCTCACACGCTGCTGGACACTATCACCCACAGGGAAGCCCACAGACTCGGGCCCAGGGGGGAAGCTGTCATCCACGAAGTTCACTTTGTTCTGCAGAAAACATAGCCATACACTCAGGCAGCTCAGGACAGCAACCTGAAAACACTGCCTGAGCCCCAGAAAAAAGGAGGTAGGCATGTGCACAACCACTCTGACCCATGTCGAAGGCTCAGCTGGGGCCTCGCGGGACCCACACCATCCAGTGTGGGGGACCGAAGCCAACCAGGACACTGCAGGCCAGCGGTGGGTCAGTGGGAGGTGTATGTGCCCCAGGGGGATGGCAGAGACCCCAGCCTGGAGGCCATAGGGGTGGTGGGCTTGGGGTACAGGGAACTTGGGTGGCTTCCCTGTCCAACCCATGACCCGCCACACCTCAGGCCCCAGGAAGAGCGGTGGGGGCACCTGGCTGGAATAGGGAAGCCAGGACACAAGACTCGGGGCGGCTGTCAGGGTAAGCTGCTGGCAGCCCCAAGGACAGCATGAGGGGGCATCCCAACCCCGGGTTCCGGCAGATTCCCCATGGCTAGAGGAAGCACCAGGCCTGCCTGCTGGCATGAGGCCTCGCCTGTGTCCCCACCTGCCTGTGGCTTCACATCTATGGGAAACCACACCTGAGAGAGGTCAGGACCACAAACTATGGGTTCTCAGAGAAAAAAGGCAAGATGCGGGCAGTGAGGACCAGCTACACTTGGGGGTGCGGAGCGGGGTGGGAGGTGACTCAGTGGCCCAACCCAAGCTCAGGGCCAGGCCAGTGCTCATAGCTCGGGGAACAAGGTACTGTCCGTCTCGCCACAGGTTCCTCCCTCCCAACTGGAGAAGGGACAGCAGGTAAGGACAAAAGATGTGGAGGTCAGGGGCCAGGAAAAGCGCAAGGAGAGGCCCTTGGGGAGAGCAGTGCCAGCCCTGCAGTGCAGGCCACCGTCCCAACGGGACTCACCTCCCGGCAGAAGGCCACAATGTTCTCCCAGAGGGCTTTGGCCTCACCCTCATCTGTCTGCCGCCGCTTCTCCACGTGCATGCTCTCCCTGCGCCTCAGGGGTGCAGCGCCCCTGCGCTGGGCCACCAGGACCTGGGGCGTGTGGCAGGCGGCACAGTGCTTGGCCCGGGGTGCGTTGAGCAGAGTGCAGGCGGGGCAGGCCCACTGGCCCGGCCACTCAGGCGTGGCCTCAGGAAAGAGGCGGCTGGCCTTGTGGGCCGCACAGAGGCCCGGCTTGTCGGCGCTGCAGTCGGGACAACGGGCGAGGGCCTCGCCATGCTCCTGGAAGCCATGCAGCTTGGAGCAGCCGCACACCGTGCACCGGGGGGCCGCGGTGGGGTTCTTGAGCGTGCACTTGGCACATGACCAGGTGGTGAAGTCAGGGCTGGAAGGGCTGGCTGGCGTGTAGCGCACGATGTCGCCAGCCAGGTCGATAACATCGGAGCCCGGTGAGGCACCACAGGCATCGCACAGACACATGGGGCCAGCTGCAGAGCAGGAGCTGCACGGGCGCAGCCCAGGGCCACCCTCGGTCCCCTCCTCCTCCAAAGCACTCAGCCGCTTGCCTGACAGCAACTCTGCCAAGCGGGAGGCCCCAGCCGCAGTCCGCCCAGGGCCCTGGGGGGGCCCCTTGGAGCCAGCTGGGGGCAAGGGCTGGGTGGCCTCAGGCAACGGTGGCTGCAGCTGGGGGGGAACCTCGCGGCGGCTGCGAGGCACGGGGTTGTTCTGCAGGGTGGGTGAGAAAGGGCTGAAGGGCAGCATCCGGGGCGGCTCCTGGTCAGCGGCAGAGGGAGGGTCGGCCTCGGCGCCTTCCCCGGGCTGGGGTGGGGCAGGTGTGATGTGGAAGCCGGCGGGGGTCACGACTTCGGGGACCACCAGAGCCTCAGGAGGGATCCTGGGCAGTGAGAGTTTTCGGGGGCCCCCACAGGCAGAGCAGGAGCTGGCCATGGGTGTATTGTGCAGCGTGCAGCGGGGGCAGGCCCAGCCGCTCCCGGGTTCTGCCACCCCTTCCTCCTTCTCCTCCGGCCGACCCCTGGCCGGCTCCATGGCCGCTGGTCCCTCCGTCTGCACTGGACCCGCCTCCTCCTTGCAGCTGCCCTTGGGCTCCACCAGGATGGTGGGCGGCTTGGGTAGGACCCCGTTGATGACTGGCAGCAGGGAGGTGCCGGGCACAGGCTCTGGGGCAAAGCCACACACCTCGCAGGCCTCCTTGCCCAGGAAGTTCCGGAATGTGCATCGGGCGCAGGGCCATTTCTGCTCCTCAACGCTGAGCCGCAGGATCTGGTCAAGGTCTGGCTTGTGCCGGGGAGCCTCACAGATGGAGCACTGGCGCTGGCCGGCCGGGTTCAGGAAGGTGCAACGTGTGCAGGACCACTCCCCAAGCGTGGCCATGGACCCGGGCGAGTGTGTGTGGCTGTAAGGGAAGGCCCAATCAGTGCACGGCCGTGGGGCAGGGGCTCGGGGCTCCAGCCGAAATGAGCAGGATTGTGCCCTTCTGGGCTGTGACAGGCATCAGGCTCAAGAGGGCAGCCAGCCTGTAAGGGGCTCGAGGACTCTGAGGGGTGAGAGGCCCCCCAAGGCCTCTCAGGAACCCCGCAGGTCTATTCTCAGACCCTTTCTAGAAGGGTGGACCTGGGAGGGTGGAGGGACGGGGTTGAGCCACACCATCGTAGCGGCCTTGGGGCCCTGGTGTGGAGGCTGTCTTTGATCAGTCCCAGGAAAGAGTCTGAATGAACTTCTTCGACAGGGTCAAGGGCGTCTACAAAATACAGTGAACATCATCCTGGGTGGTGAGAGACTGAATCTGTCCCTCCCAGAGCAGGAGCTTAGTGCGGCTAGTCAACACTGTACTGGAGTGTTAGCCAGAGCAATTAGGCCGGCAGAAGAGATAAAAGGCAGCCGATGGGAAAAGAAGTAAAACTAGTGCCATTGGCAGATGACATAATCTCATACATACAAAATCCCAAGAACCTACAAAAAAACCTACTAGAGCTAATACATGAATTCCGCAAAGTTGTAGGGCACGAGATGAACACACAAGTCAGCTGTGTTTCTGTGCCAGCAATGACCAATCTGAAAAGGAAGAAACAGTACCACTTACAACAGCACCCGAAAGAATAAAACTTCCAGGAATACATTTCACTGAGGCGGTAAAATACTTGTATCCTGAAAACTACAAAAATTGCTGAAAGAAACTCAAGAAGACCTACATAAATAGAAAAACATCACGTGTTCATTGATTAGAAGACTTAATATAGTTATAACGACAATACCAATACCATCCAAAGTGATCTACAGATTCAATGAAATCCCTGTCGAAATCTCCGTGGTCTTTTTTTTTTTTTTTTGCAGGAATGCAAAAAGCTGATTCCAAAATTCACACCAAATTGCAAGGGCCCCCAAGTAGCTAAAACGATCTTGAAAAAGAGTCAGAAAGTCAAGACAGTGTGGTAGTCAAGACAGTGTGGTATTGCCATAAGGATAGACTATATATGTCTACACATGGTCTATATAACCAATGAAAAGAATGGAAAGTCCAGAAATAAACCCTCACACATATGGTCAAATGATTTTTGACAAGGGTGTTAAGACCATTCGATGGGGAAAGGACAGTCTTTTTAACAAATGGTGCTGGGACAGCTGAACATAAACACTAAAGAATGAAGCTGGGCCCTAATCTCACATCATATTAAAAAATGAACTGAAAATGCATCAATGACCTAAATGTAGAAACAAAAGCTACAGAACTCTTAGAAGAAGAAAACAGAGGTAAACTTTCATGACCTTAGATTTGGCAATGGATTGTTTGATATGAAACCAAAAGCACAGGCAAATAAAGAAAAGAAAGGGTCGGCCGAGGGGCTCAGTTGGTTAAGAGCTCGCTCAAGAGTGCGAGCTCTGAGCAACAGGGTCACCGGTTTGATTCCCGGCCCGACCCGAGCTGAGCTGCTGCTGAGCAGCCAACAGGTGGCAAGATGGCTCAGTTGAAAAAAATTTAAAAATTGGACTTCATCAAAATTAATAGCTTCTGTGCTTCAAAGGACATTATCAAAAAAGTGAAAAGAAAACCTGCACAAAGGGAGAAGATATTTGCAAACTACGTATCTGATAAGTGTCTTGTATCCATAATATATAAAGAACCCTTACAATTAGACAACGACAGAAAAACGACCTGTCTTAAAAATGGGCAAAGGGGGCTGGCCGAGTGGTGCAATGGTTAAGAACTGGCTTGGGACGCCAGAGGGCTCCGGTTCGGATCCTACATATGAGGGCCAGTGACACTGCCCTCCACAGCTAAGATGCTGTACAACAGCTCAACCTGGAGCTGGGCTGCCATGAGTCGCTGGTGACGGCGTAGGCTGCAGCCCCTGTGGCAGTGGGTTGCCATGGGCTACCGTGTATAGCCAGCAGCCAGCGTGAGCGGCCAGCAGCCGCAGTGAGCGGCCGTCCAGAAGCCGGCGACTCATCTGCCTCGCCTGGGAAGAGCACAATGATGGTGCCAACTTGGGCCAGTGAAGCAACGTCCTCCACAACTAGACTGAAGAACAAAACGACAGCAACTTGTCTGTTCCCCTTCCCCCAATTCCCCAGCACTGTTCCCATCCCCCAATTCCCCAATAAAAATCTTAAAAAAAAAGGAAAAAAAAAGTGAAATAGTCCTACCACATGACCCAACGATTCCACCCCTAGGTATCGACCCCAAAGAACTGAAAACTGGTACTCTGATAAACACACATACATATATGTTCACAGCGGATCTATTCACAATAGTCAAAGGTGGAAACCACCCAAACATCCATCAACGAATACATAGATAAGCCACAAAAAAGAATAAAATTCTGACACATGCTACAACATGGATGAACCCTGAACACATTCAAAGTGAAAGAAGGCAGACACAAAAGACCACAAGTTCCACAATTCCATTTATAGAAAATGCCCAGGCCAAGCACATCCTTAAGAGGCAGAAATAAGACTGATGGTTCCAGGGGCTGGGAAGCAACTGCAGAATGGGCACGGGGTTTTCTGGGGTCATAAAAACGTTTTGGAACTAGAGGGGACAGATGCACACAGTGAATGCACTAAATACCACTGAATTGTTCACTTTGAAATTATTAATTTTACATTATGTGAATTTCATCTCAAAAAAAAAGTCTGAGTGCGTGAAGGGAGGGCAATGGCGTGAATGGTCCTCTCCATGCTGTGGGTGAGGTCACCCCTGATTCGGGGTCGCCAGTGGAGTCCCCCAGGGCAGGAGTCAATGCTGGCATGTGCTGGGGGCTCCAGATATCTGACCATGAAAAACAACCCAGCAGTGCTCGTGGCCACCCACTAGGCCATTTCTCCCTGGCAGAGGACAGGCTCACCCCAGGAGACCTTCTGTCCCGTGCAAAGGCCCTCGGACTGATCAGCTCCAGGAATAACAGTGGCCCCTCAGGTGGGGCCGTGGGTGGTGACCTACCTGCACCTCAGCAGTCCCTACTGACTGCCCAGCCCCTGGGCACAGCCTGAACCTTGTGGGGTCTGGGCACTGTCCACTTACCTGCCCACCACCCACCTAGACCCCTGCAGGCCCGTTCTGCCCAGCAGGGGCTCAAGGAGGCAGCTCCAAGTCCTGAAGCAACACAAACCTTCCTCCTCTCATAGTGCACGTTATGAGGTCTTGGGGGCCACAGGCTGCCCAGCGAGGGGATAGCAAGGGGGAGGTGGGGGATGTCCAAGATCAAAGGCGGTGGGAAAGGGGACATGGCCACCACTACCACCAGCCTGTCCCAAACTGCAAGCCTGGGAGATCCTGTGTGTAGCAGGACACTGTCCTCCTGGGATGAACAGAGACTGTCCGGGGGAAGGCACCTGTCTGTAACTGCAGGGCTGCCAACACTCAGGGTGGACTCCATTCCCCCAGGAGCTCCTATCCCAGGAAGCCTCTGGCTGTGCATTGGGAGGCAGATGGGCTGCTGCCCGACACACCCAGGATGGGTCTACGCCTCAGGTCCTGGTCCTGGGGGGGTTAGCACCAGGGCCAGTCCCTGGAGTAGGGCCCGCAGGGAGAGCCACACACCACATGCCCGGTGTGGCCAGAAGATGTGGTACTCTGAAAGTCGCCAGGCCTGAGGCATGGCAGTGGGGTGGGTACAGGGAGAGCAGAGCAGGAAGGGCTGAAGGGCTGGCCAGGGAGGTGGGAGCCAGGAAACCCACACCTGGCTCCTGGGACCCTGCTGGTTGTGCAGAGCAGGACAGGGCACCCACCTCCCACTCTCTCAGGTTCCCTGGAGCACTGACACGCAGCCCCCTTTGCTGGGTAGGTTCTTGGGGCCTGGCCTGCCTGCACCTCCAAGGCTGGGCCTCTGCTCTTCCCAGGAGCACAAAAAAGGCGTTCAGGCTCAAGCAGGGCAAGTGGGACGCTCCAGATTGGCTCCTCCCACCCAAGACGGGCCAGGGGTCTGGGGCAGGGGAGGCTGGCCCCGCTATCTGCCTTTCAAGAGCTAATCTGGGCATGAAGGCGTTGTCCACACACCACAACACACAACCTCCTACACTGCTGCTCCGCTGGCATAAAAATCAATTGTTCTTTACAAGGCACGGAGCTTGTGCTTCTAATGCTATGTTCACGCCAAACCCTTTTGGTTCAGGAAGAAAGCAAGCTTGCCTCTTCAAAAATAAAAAACAAACAAAAAACCTCCCCTGGGCAACACGACTGATTCCCGGAGCCCAGAGCAAACTCTATGAAGCCGTTTTCCTGGCCCACCCGTGTGGACCAGCCCTGGGGTGAGCGGGTGGGCGCCCAGCACCCGTGGAATAAGTCAGGGCCAGAGCCAGGGCCAGGTCAGCCTTAGCCTTGGATTCTATGCTATGCAAAGCCTAAGAAATTTGCCTGGACACGACCGGGAAAACCCCACCCCAACGTTCCCCATTAGAGGACAAGGGCCCATGGTCAGACAAGGTGTGGGGCACGGCATGTGCCCCCAACCCCTCCCATGCACACACACAGGTCAGGTCCTGGGCAGGCTCAGGGGATGGTCATTCACCCTGTGTACCTAAGCTGGCCTGGTGTGACCCTACACAGACCACAAGCTCCTGGGAAATCTCAGGGAGGACTCAGGCCCCAGCACCAGAAGAAAAAGTGGGCCCAGGGCCCTCCTAGGACACATCTGCCCTGGGCTGCAGGGCCCTGGTGGTCCCAGGTGCACTGAGCAAGGATAGTCTTGCAAACGCTGGGGACAGGGGATATGTGTGTGACGGGGGAGCCCAAGTCCTGTTCACCCAAGTAACCCGCCAGCTGGCCAGTCCCTGGCCTAGGCTGGCTGCACACAAGGCATGGTGTCTGCTGGTCCTAGCCAGCACCTGGGGACAGAGCAGGTTTCACTGCCATCCTGGTGGATAAGGAGAATCAGGAAGGTTCTGTCTGGAGTTCAGAAAGGCTAACATGAAAACAGTGCCTTGGGGAAACAGAGGTAGGGCTTGGTGGACGCAGCAGCCCCTCTGACCGGAAGGAGGCTGAGGCGATGTGGTGGCGGCACAGCCGTGGGGCTGGCACAGCACTTCTTCACAATCCCCGAGGCCTGCCCCTCACAACCCATACCTCGGAATCCTCGGGTGATAAAGGGAAATGGCTCAGGGGTCAGTGATGGGTGAGCTGCTCTGGTCTCTGGAACCCCAGGGCCACCCCCCATAGCCACCATGACAGGCCTTGGGACCGGGGTGGGGGGGGGACCAAGGGCTCAGGAGACCCTCAGCAAGGCCCAGAGACCTGAAATCTCTAGAGCACCCGAGGGTGAGGCCAGAGCACCAAGCAAAGCCCGGGAGTAAGACAGTCGGGAACCCAGAGTCAAACCAGACCCTCAACACAACACGCTCCCAGGTTCCATGACCCTCACTGGGCTGAATCACCCACGCTCCAGGCTGAACCATCATGTCGGAGAAAACTGGCTGCTCGTGGAAAATGACCTGTTAGTCCTTACACCAGAAAGGCTATGTCACAGGGAAAACGGAGGGAATTGCCCAGAAAAATACCTGCTCCACCCTTATTATCTGGGAGGTGCCAACACTCAGCTCTAATTCAAAGAGGGGGTGGTTACAGAGTTGCTCTTGGGGCTCACTGTGAAGTCCCCCAGTACCCACGACAAGCGTGTTTGCAGGGACGTGGGGCGTTCTGGGAACGGCCTCTCTCCTCCCCATGGAAGCTGAGCGGTAAGAGGTGCCACACAAGCACCTGGATCAAGCCACAGGACCCAGGCTGGGCTCCTGCTCAGGCCACACAGCAAGGTCGGCCAACCTGCCTGGCTGCGGCCACCCGACCCCAGACCCTGGAACCCCTTGCTGGTTTCGAAGTGCGCCGGGCGCCGCCCCTGGAGGCCACTCTCAGCCAGTCTTGGGCTGTCCTCCTTGTCTGTCCCCAGGGCAGGCCCAGATCTTATAGGTGACCTATGCCCACATCAACTGCTTATTGATTACGGTGAAGAGCTCCTGGGCATTGCAGTTCCTGGTCCCAGCCCGGCAGTGGGTTTCAGGAAACAGCCATGCTTGGCTCTTGGCTTCGTCACTGCAACGGGGCACTCGCAGCCGAGCAGGCAGTGTGCCGATGTACAGGCAGAGGCTGCTGTGCTGCTGGCTTATGCACGTGCCTTCCTAGTGTCTGACACCCCCATCAGAGCTGGGGAGGGGTCGCCCATGCACATGCCTGGCTGACCCTCGACTGTGGTGGAGTGCCGCACGGTGTGTGTATACACATGTGCCTGTGTGTGCGTGTGGGGAGAGGGTCCTATCGGGGTCGGTGGGCAGGGCTGCTACAGCATGGGGGACCACCTACCTGCCTTTCTACCCCCTTCCTTCCTGCCATCTGTCGTGCCCAGCTCCCCCACACCCGCAGTTCTTTCTTATCTCTGGTCCGGGTGCCCGTGAGTTCCTCAAGGTCATTAGCGCCATTTCTTCCTGATTGGACTTTGCCCACACTAACTGCCTTGAGGTCTGGGCCTGACTCCAGTGGCCATGCACGGAGGGTCTGGCAGGAGCCAGGAGAAGGAGAGAGGGTGAGCGGCATCACCAGGCACTTGGCTTGAAGGCATGGGTCGAGACGGGAAGTCTAACACACCCCTTAGCACGCAAGGCCTCAGAGAGAGCTGCCTGGCAAGCCCCACAGGTCCCCCGGGGGGGGGCCAGCTTCCCTCCCTGGGACTCAGTAATTCTCCGAGCAGTTTATCCTAAGGAAATAAATAAACGGAAATAAAAAGACATGTGGGTAGATGAAAACCTGAGTAGATATTCAACATCACCAACCATCAGGGAAATGCAAATCGAACCACCACTAGAGATACCACCTCATACCCACCAGGTGGGCCAGAGCCAAAACCCGCAGATAACAAGTGTTAGACAGGACGTGGAGAAACTAGAGCCCTCCCCTGCACCGCTGGTGGGAATGCAAAATGGTCCAGCCGCTGTGGAAAACAGTCTGGCAGTTTCTGAGAAAGTCAAACATAAACGTGCAATAAACCTCGGAAATTTCATTCTAGGTATCTATCTACCCAAGAGAAATGAAAGCATACCCAAAAAATCGTACACAAATGTTCATGGCAGCATGATTCATAAAAACCAAGTGGCAACAACCCCAAATGTTCATCAGCTGAGGAATGGGTAAACAAATGTGGTCCATCGAGACAATGGACTATTACGCAGCCATCAAAAGAATGAAGCACTGACATACGTTGTACGTGGATGGGCCTTGAAAATATGCTCAGTTCACAGACACAGAAGAACAAGCTATGTGATTCCGCTTACGTGAAATTTCTAGAATGGGCAAATCTATAGACAGGAAGCAGGGTGGTTGCCTAGAGATGGGGAGGGATTGCGAATGAGAAGGATCTTTTCGGGGGCATGGAGATGCTGGAAAACTGGACTGTGGTGATGGTTGCCCAACTCTATGATGAATTGAAACCACTGAACTGTACACGTGTGAGGGGTGAATTTGATAGCATGTTACATCTCCATAAAGCTGGGACACGGAGATGCTCACTAGTGCATCATTGATACAGTAATTAGGGGAACCGAGGAAATTCTGATTCTGCCTCTCACTGGTCCCTGCCACTGTCCTGCCTCCCAGCACATCCCTCTGGACCTCAAGGCCCTGAATCCTGGCTGCTAGGATAACTTATAAGACCTCTGAGACTCTCCACCTGGCTGTGCTAACCCCTCCACAACCCTCCCAGTTTCCTCCTCTGCCAGGGACTTGCTTCAGCTCCAAGACCATCCCAGGAGGCTGGTCCCACACTCCAGCATGCCCAGGGGAGGGGCATGGTGAGAGCCAGGAGGAGAAAGGGTGAGAAAAGTCACCAGGCACTTGGCTTGATGGCTTGAGTCAAGATCCAAAGTCTAACACATACACACGCCCCTCAGCACGTCGCCTACCTGGCCGGGGAGTCCAGGACACACCACTGAACCTAGGCCTGGGAACCCTGGGACAGCGGGGCTACCGCTGCCTCTGCCCCAAGGTCCGAGGAACCCTGAGTGTATGCTGAGTACCAGACGCTTCCAGCACGGCCGTGGGATGGAGGGTAAGGTGGGGGCATCAGTGCCGGGGTGGGATGCTGAAGCCCCACCTGCCCCTACCCCAGCCACCCCAGCACCCCAGAGGGGAGGCTCTCCAGGTGACCCAACGGCAGCCTGAGGGACCTGGCAAGTAAAGGTGTGGCCCTGCAGCCCCACTGCCCTTCCTGCTCCCCTGCAGGCAGCCATGTCAGAGGAGGGGTATACACACACAGATGGGAGGCCCCAGCAGTGTCCCTGAAATCCTGCAGGAAGCATGCAAGCATTCTCAGCGCATGCCACTGCCACCCGGGCCTGGGGGTGGGGGGCAGGCTCCCCACCCGCCCGGCAAAAAGCTCTAGAAGCAGCTTCACCATGAGCCCCAGACTGAGCACTCTACGCCCGGAGGCAGATCCCACTCCAGCTGCCCCCAACCAGCAGGCCGAGTCACAGGGCTGGCTTTCAGGAGCCTCTGCCAAGCATGGAACAATCCCAGAGCCTCTTGTGCCACTGTGGGAAAGTGGGTCACCAGAGGAGCCTAATAAATAAGAACCCACTTTTCTGCAAGCCCCTCTGCCAAAGAAGGGGCACCCTGACAGAGCAGCACTCCCACCCACAGGGGCCCCCCCCATCTTTCTTACCTTCGGGCCCGGGGGCGTAGGGGCTGGTGCTGCCGGGTGACCAGGGCACCGCCCCAGACTGACCCGACAGACCCGCCGGGGCCATTCCTACACCAGCCGGCCGCTGCTGCTGGGGGGCCCGGGTAGGGCGGCCCCCCGGGAAAGCCATGGTCCGACTCGGTCTCGGCGGCCAGCGAGGAGGCGGAGCTCCCCATGGCCCCCTTGACGGCGGCCGCACTGAGAGCCGGGCCTGGTCACACGCGGCCGGAGCATGGAGGGAGGTGAGTACCGAACAGGAGACAGGGCGGCCAGGCTGGTCAAAGTCACACAACAAAAATAAACACAGAGAAAATAAAGAGAAAGAGAAGAAACAGCATGATTCACAGGAACAAGGCCCCAGGAGCTCTGGGAGGGCTTCCCAGCATGAGTGGCCTTGAGGCAGGAAGGGGATAGCTATTAGCGGGGACCTGGGGTCTGCGCCTGACCCAGCAGCAGGCATCCTGCAGTGGCCGCCTCAGGGACCCGTACAACAGAGGTCCCCACAAGGCCAAAGGCCAGGAGTCGACAGAGCTGCGTCCCAAGCACAAGGCACCCCCTACCCTTCCTGCCCCATAACCAGAGCCCCCTTCTCTGCTCCTGAAAACCCACATCCACCCATCAGCTGCCCAAAGGGAACAGATGGTGGTACCAACAGCTGCTGGTCTTCGAGGGTTTTATCCTCAGTGAGATGAGAAATGACATGACTTTGCTTTACTGTAGAAGGAAGGATCAAGACATACTTAACCAAAGGAAAAGGGGGAACAAGGGAAGTGAGCGCCGTGGGGCTGGTGCAGGCCTGCAGGACACCCTCCGGGAGGGCACTCAGTGCCACCACGCAGCCAGGTGGGTTCACACAGCGCCATGTCCACCCACATGCCCTTCTGAAGCCTTCCTGAGGGACAGCCTCCCCAACCCAGGGAAACTTCAGGGACCCAAGAGGAGATGGGTGACCTGGGAGGGATCTGGGAGGCTGGCCAGGCCTCCAGTGGGGGACTTTCTGCACTCCAGGGGAGGCCTCTGACCGCCCCCTGGCCAAGGGGAGGAGCGAAACACAGCCCAGGAACATCCACCCTGAGACGGGGCAGCGAGTCTCATTTTAAATGAGGCGGGTCCCAGTCAGATGAGGGAGGACGCCCGTGCATCCTCTCCTCGTCTACCTGGCCAGGCTCTGGGCCACAGTGGGCATCTGCTTGGCTTGCTGGCTATGAACATGACCAGCAGTATGGCCCTCACCCCGGGGTCCACTGTCACCACTGACACCCTCTCCCAAGGAAGTGCCTAGGTAACGGGCCAGGGGCTTGAGGAGAACTGGGGAAGCATCCCTGGCTGCCAGGCAGGCGGCCAGTGGGCACTCAGGCAGGCTGGTGGGGCTGCGCAGGGTTCCCCACACCTGAGTGACCAGCGGCACACACAGCGCTGGAGGATGGCGCAGGACAAGCACAGTGGGGCATAGGATGGGAGACGTCTGCGACCCCTGCCCTCTACAAGCTTTGGTTGGGTGGCTGAATCCCCTGCAGCGATGACATTCTCTGGGGTGCCTCTTGTCCGGGGGACAGGATGTGGCTGGGACAGTGCAGCACCAGCCCTGACTGGCCTGGGGGCCCAAGTCACTTGCTGCTCAGGCCTCTGTCCCAAAGCACGAGCAGAACTGAGCAGTAGGGTAGAGACCCCGTGGCCTGCAGAGCTGACCCTGTCCCCACCTGGCCCTTGAAGGAATGTCTGCCGGCTCCGGCCTCCAGGAACATTGTCCAATAGAAGCCTCATGTGAGCTACAGCGGTCATTTCCAATCCTCCAACAGCCACGTAAGAAACGTGATAGACAGGTTATGGAAATCTCAATAATGTACCTCCCATAGCCCACACATAACCTAACACACCCAAACCATCACGTGTCAGTATGAGACCGGGCAAAGCCACATGGGAGCTGCGTGACACCATCTTGGGTCAAGGTCTTTGGACTTGACTGTGGTTCACACTCATCTCCGCTGGACGCGCCAGGCTCAGGGGTCAGCAGCCACATGAGCCAGTGGCTTCGGTACTGGACAATGCTCCCACAGGCCCAGGAGGGCTTAAGTGCAGGCAGCTGCAGGTGCAGAGCACTGAGCACGCCCACCAGCAGTCAGTTCCAAGCAACCTGGGGCACTCAGGATACGTGCCTCTGCCATGATTACAAATCAGACACCAGAACAAGCATAACAGCCCCTGAACTTCAGAATCCTACTCTATACAGGGGACCCTCCTGGGAAAAGGGCCCAGGTGTTTCTGACGCTCCCCTTTCACAGTCAGATCCTGAGCAGGTAAATGGCAGAGTGGGGAGGAGCAGGTGAGGACAGGTGAGGGCTTGGGTTGGAACCATGCCCAGGGGAGACACCCATGGGCAGAAATGCCCATGACTGGGTCCGGGGCTAGTCTGCCCCTGATGAAGAGCTTTGTCTGTGTCCACTGGGAGGGCAGAGGACAGGGCAGCCAGGAGAAGCCGGGCCCAAGAACCCCAAACCAGGGGTGGGGGTAGGGTAGACAGTGCCATCTGCAGCCAGGTCAGGGCTGGCACCTGGCCCATGTCCCAGGTGACGCCACCATGATGCAGGCAGAGCCAAAGAGGAAGCCGGACCCCACGCAAAGTGAGGACACAGCCCTGGGCCTTCCCTGCCTGGAGGACGGGGCAGCTAGGTCCTGCGTGGGCTGGATATGCTGCCCGAAGCACAGGTTCCCACGAGGGCCCACCTGCTCTTCACTGATGCCCTTAACAGGCCCTCAGCCACTGTGAGGTGTGTGTGGGCCCCCTACCCCTGCATGCTGGCAAAGCATGGGGTGCCTGAGTGGGGCCAGCCCCCTGACACACCTTCAGGGAACTCTGATCCTACAGACCCCATCTGGGGAGGGTGGGAGGCCCGTTGAGGGGTGGGCTACACAGTGGTGGCCAGGCCTCTCCTGGGGGCTCAAAGAGAAGGGAGAGGAGAGGCAGCCTGGAAGGGCAGACGCCCTCCAGAGAGCAGCCAGCTCCAGAAGGGCCTCTCTCGGGGTTTCCGGAGATGACAGTACCCTAATACTCCCACACTCTATCTTGGCCCGCTGGGGGTGGGGATGAGCCCCTAGGAGGGAGATCCCATCAAGGAGCACCCTGGTTGGGCAAGGTACTCGGCCAGGCCACCAAGGACAGCATGGACCCTGCTGCCCCCAAGCCAACCCGAGGGTCCCACCTGCACGTGGGGACATGTGGGAAGCGCTGCTGGGAAGGGCGGGTCAATCCATGGCTCCCATCCTGGCTCCACAACAGAATAACCAGGGATGGGAGCTTTTACAAACACAGGCCCTGCCCTTTGAGATACAGTCCCAGGTGAGGGCCTCCGGCAAAGCAGAGCAGGCTGCGCTCCCAGGTGACAAGCCCTGTGCAGCCTCATCTCCTATAGGGCCTGCTCCTCCTCTCACCTCAAGTGAGGAGTGTGGAGCCCATCTGCCAGCCCTGCAACAGCCTAGGTCCGTTCACTCCTTCCTCCATGCATCACTTATTCATTCAGCAAATGCCCATCAGGGCCCTACTGTGTCCCAGGCCCTGTCTTAGGCACTGGCTATGGCAACATGCATGGACCCTGCCTGCAGGGGGCTCACTTTTTGGCTGCATGGTGTATATAACACGTCTCCAGGCAGAAGCCAGAGCGCAGCCGACGGCAGAGCCAACCTCCTGGACTGTGCAAAGGGGCAGGGCACCACAGGAAGTGCAGCTGCCCCACAGCCCACACTGGTTCCTCTTGCCCTCACCGGGGAACCGCTGCCCTAGATTTAAATGGGGCGGTGGCCTAGATCTGCCCTCAGAAGCACGCAGGTGGGGCTGCTGCCACCCCCAGAAGACAGGGCGTTAATCCACAGGGGCTGACTGGGCTATCCACCAGGCCCGGCATGAGGCGTGTGCCCAGCATTGCACTCTGAGAGGACAGCAGGGGACCGACTGCCCACCCAGTGATAAGCGCATGAAGGGCCAGATGAGGACAACCCTCTCCATGAGACCCCACATGGGGTGCACCTGTCTCAGTCACAGCAGGCTGGACCCCAGTGGTGACGGACACCCACCACCCCGCGCCCCGGCTCACCTACTCTCCCACTGCCAGTGGGCCCTCTATGGGTGGGCACTAAGACCTTAGCACGTCTGTGAGGCAGGTAGGGGCACTCCCGTGTGGTGGGGGGATGAGTTGCTCCCACCAAGTGAGTGTACCTGGCCCAGGCTGGGGGTGAGCAGACCCTCACCCTTGAGCCAGAAGCCTGCAGCCATGGAGGCCACACCCAAGTCCCAAGGGGGAGGACGCAGGTGTTTATGCTCCGCCAACCCAGCTCAGACTCCTGGGGCTCTCTGAGTCCGTGCCCCCCACGTTAGCTGGCAAGGCACAAGTCCTGTTAAAGCTAATCAAGATCCATCGCCCATGCCGTAATAATGGTCCTTCACCGACTGCAGCTCCTCTGGCAAGCTGCCCGAAACCAGCCCAGGACAGGGACTCGGGAGAGGGACAGAGGGTGACCCACCGAGGGAACACCAAGCTTTTCTGGAGCACTGATCCCTGCGCCCAGAACACCCATGGCCACCTACCGTACCCCAGAATTACACCCACCAGATGGGAAGCTGAGAGCACGCTGGTTGGTCCCCCACGGCCTGAGAAGGGCTGCCAACCGGATGGAAACGCCGAGGACAAGAAGCTCCTGGCTGAGTGGGGGAGGCCCCCTCCACCAGAAACAAGAAACCAGGCTGGAACCCCACCCTGGGAAAGTCCCCACCCCAGGGAGGGCCTGACTTTGACCTCCCCGCCCCCAGGACTGGCAAGACTGCATTCTCCTGCAGCTGCCCCCTCCTTCCAGGAGTCAGCAGCTGGCCCACATCAACAGCTCACTGGCCCACTCCCTTGAACTGGGAGGACAGCAAGGCACAGAGGCAGGGGATGGTTTACAGGGGACACAGGGGTCCCACTTGGGGAGAACACCAAAGGGACAGCAGGCAGGGCCTTGTGGTGTGCCCTAGAATGACAGGGCCACAGCCCCAAGCCTCAGACGCACAGTGGCCTGTGAGGCCATGAGAAGTCAGGGTTGAGGTCAGGTCAGTGGGTCTCAAGGGGGTTCTGGGAATCAAGGGTTCTAAGGAGAGGCCCAGGAACCCCTGCAGAGAGAGAACGCCTGCGACACACTCCAGCCCACTGCTCCACAACCAACCCCACAGCCCTATCGGACCCACAGTGCCTGGGAAGGGACTTGCCTCACTGTGTAGATGCTTAGCTCCCTCCAAGATCACGACTGGGTCAGCAACAGAACAGGTTTGCCAATAGCACATCCACCCAGAGGACACATCCCCTCTCCTGGAAGGTTCTGGACTCTGGCCCTGGAATAGCAGATCCAGCCCCCAAGCTTACTACCTTGGGCCAGAGTCCATTGGAGAGCAGTGGCGACCAGCCACGTGGTCCAGGCTCGGCAGCCATCTGTGGCTCTTGTGTTGGGCTATGTCCCACCCATAGGCCAGGGCCACCGGGAGGGCTGTCCCACCTCTGCAGGTGCGGGCTTGGACAAGGAATGGCCCTCGGATCTCTGAGAACACTCCGATGGGAGGTGGCCTGGGGACTACATCCCTTTAGAAGCTGCATCTGTCCCTCACCCAGGAAGTTGGAGGCCCCAGGGGAGCTGCATGGCTCAGCCAGCTCCTCACTGCCCGGTCCAAGTCCTTGACTACTCCTGGGCCAGCCAGGATGGCAGATGGGGCTGTTCAAGACCTGGGGTCCAGTGGGCTGGGCCTCCCTTAGCCTGGCTCTGCCCACAGCAGGGGTTTCCAGGAAAAGGTGCCTAGGTAGGACAGGGCTCTGGGCAAGCAGCCAGGCAGCCATCGAGATTCCCCAGGACCCAGGTCCTGGCACCACCTGGCCACTCCAGCCTCCAACCACTGCTGCAGGCTGGGCGACTCTGCACACGTGTCCCCCTCCTGCCCATCCTCGGCACGGTGCAAGGGTCCACCTGAGGCGATGGATGGCTCTAAAGACACAAGAGGACACACAGTGACCCCATTCCTGGCTGCAGCCTCCCCCACTCCCTCACCTTAGCCCTCAGGCAAACACCGAGGCCGGCCACCCCCTGCTCACAGGGTCTGCACCCGCAAGACTTGTGAGAAGGTTCTGTTGAAATTATAACTCCCTCCACCCCAAGAGCCAGGTCCAGGAATAAAAGCAGTGGTCCCCAACCGTGTAACAACCACTTCCTGTCAGCAACCTTGGAAAGAAATGCACATGTCCCAAATCCTAGCCCACCTGAGTGGGATCTGCTGCCCAAACACGCTACAGGGCGGTCGCTCTTCTTGGCGGGTCTGGACTTCTCTGTACATCAAAGGCTCCAGTCCCTGACAGTTCCAGCGGCCAGCTCTAGGGCAGAAGTCAGGGCTCCTGGCTGCAGATCCCCACCCACGTTCCTTCAGGCCACTCAAGGCACCTCTGCACTGCCTGCTGACCCTGGTCAAGGGGAATGACTGGCAGCTGCTGGCTGGATTCTCTACTTTCTGAGGCGGGAGGAGAGGAAACGGGCCTCTCAAAGGCACACACGAGGAGGCAGAAGGATGGGCACACAGGGTCCTGGGGCTGCTTCCAAGGAGGGGAACGGGGTCACTGTGTGTCCTCTTGTGTCTCTGGAGCTGAACCCCACCTCAGCTGCGCAACACGAAAAAGGAGATGATGTTTTCCACGCGGCACCTTCAGGGACACTCTCAGGATTTCACAAGTTCAATATTGGTTAATGCTGAGCACTATTTTTAACGGGAAAAGAGCAGCCACTATACAAGCGCTCTTGTTTTTTGGCACTTATACGTTTCTGTTGGCCAAGTGGCGGCAGGAGCACCCTTGGCCAGGGCAGCCCCGCTGGCAGCAGGGCAGGTTTCACAGGGCATGGGGCACTCGAGCCTTCAGCTCACCCCACAGGGAGGCAGATGGGGAGTCGGGGCTCTGCAGCCACCTCCTCTGGAATGGCACGGGCTCCAGGACATGCCGTCTTTCCTGTGACATGGCAGGAGGGCAGCATGAAACAGGGGCTGAAGGTCCTAGAGACTCAGTCCGCCTGCGTGAGTTTAATTCTGAGAAGTGTGGATGCGGCGGCGAGCTGGCCCCAGGAGGAACTCCCAATGCTTCAGGTTTGGGCTGTGACAAGGCAGGAGGAGCAGGAAGTCACAATGACTGCCTTTCTCAGGGCGCAGGCTCACATGACACTTCCAGACAGCAGCTATCGACCTGCTTTCCTCCTGGTATTTTGCGGCACCGTCCAGGCACATCCCTCCCCCACCAGCCACCAGGGAGCTGGGGATGCAGCCCTCGAAGGTCCCCCTGGGCCTCAGAAAAGCCAGAGAGCAGGGTGCAGAGCAGCTGCTGGAGCATGATGGCGTTTGCAGGACAGGAGGGCTGAGGTTGAACACGTATGCGCGCTACTGTCTCCTACGAACCCGCCCCGCTGCCCCTGGACCAGTCCTTACAGAGGGACAGCATGTCACTGACTTCCCGAGTGGCTCCTCCTGGGACTCCTGTGCTGGACTAGGCGACCTCTGACCTCCCATGGCCCCCGCACCCGGGCACCAGGCTGTCCTGGTGGCACCAATGCAGCGCTATGCAGAAGTCCCACTCTGACCCATCCCTGGGCCTCTGCCATGACCTCAGAGTGACAAGGTGTGGCTGAGCAGGTCCCCAAGCCCGAGAAAGGCAGTCCAGCCTCAATCCACGGCTTCCTACCAGCTCATTCCAAGAGAGTGGAGGCCAGCAAGTCCATTCCTCATCCCCAAAGAGGCCTCGGAGTGCCATTCGGACTTCAGAGCCGAGTGACCAGGGCTGCCTGCCAGCAAGCAGCTAACAAAGAATACTCACTGCCCACCTACTCTGTGTAGATGGGATGGTACTGGGCGCCAAGGGTCAGCGTGTGCATGGGAAGCCAGGGACGTCAGAGCTCAACAAGACCTCCTAGGCATTCTTGGCAGAGCAGGAAAGGGGGAGAACGGGACAAGCTGCTTCCATGCTGAGGGAGAGGTTTAGCAGAAGAGATTTGGCGCCAGACAAGATCACTGAGACATTCCCACGGGTGCCAGGTGCTGAACGGAGCACAGGGCAGGACCAGAGGGAAGGGCAGCAAGGAGGTGCCGGGCAGCCCAGGCAACAGTGGGGAGCAGAGGAGAAACGGGCTGAGCCCAGAGCCCCCTTGACACCCTGGGGGCAGGGGGCATCCTTGCTCAGGGTCTGGGCCCAGGCTTTTAATATCAGATGAAAAAAACCACCAAACCCACCCCACTAGCCCACACAGTTTCCATTTAATTACGCCATTTGCCTTTCTAGAACCCTTCTGCGCCTGGGGTGGTGAGTGGTGCACCGAGGACCAGATCAGAGACTACTCTGCCCCCAAAAGCCATGACCGTGGGTAGTTGCCCCCCTCAGGCTCTTCACTGACCAGCTCAAGTCCATAAACGATATTGGGGTTTGGGGGCATTTTTTAGGGCTGCTCCTCAGTACAATGGAGCTTACCAGAGTGGTACCCAAGAGACAGGGGCTGGCAGAGCTTGGTGCAGGGCCTGAGTACAAAGGAGCTTCAGTAAGTGTCTACCACTGTGAAGCCAGCCAAGCCTGGCCTCTCTGGTGAAGGGCAGAGGGACTCAGAATTGCCCACATGGTGGGGCAGAGGTTCCCGTGCAGATGCAGGATTTAGAGGGTTCAGCCACGTCCCGTTCTCAGAGCCCAGGTCTGGGAGGCTCAGAGCAGACACAAGATCTGAGACCGTAGGTTCCTACCCAAAGCCATACCATACCTAAGCCTTGGGCCGAGCAGGGAGGGCTTAAACCTGACTCTCAGGTCATGGGCCCAACTGCTCAAGAAAAGCAGCTCCAGAGGTTTTCAGATGCAGCAGGGAAGAGGGAGAAGAGGCGCACTCCTTCTAGGAGCAAAACAACTTGAGAGGAAGTCAGATGTGCTCACCCCCAAGGCCAGGCTGTGCTGACTTCCTGCAAGAAAGACCCTGACTTCCTGCAAGACCCCACTTCCTACAAGACGACCAGCCAGGCAGGCCTCCAAACAGGGCTCCAGGCTCTTCAGGTTCCCCTGTCTGTCTGGGGCTCTCTTTCTCTTCAGGAAACACTATCTTTATCTATCTTCACATTTGAAGAAAGTCACTCAGAAGTAGAAGGATGGAATTACCCCACCACCTCCCCCAGCCCAGCCTCTGGAAGCTGAAGATAATCACTCCCCACACCTAACTGTGACTCACCTGGGTAGAGGGAGAAGCCCGGGGATCCCCAAAGGAGGGGCTCTTGAGAGGGGCACAGACTGGACTCAGCACCATGCTGAGTCCCCGTTTCTCCCACAAAATGCCACTGCTCTGAATTGCAGGACCCTAGACTCCCAGGCTTGGTTTCAGGGATTCTGTTGCTGACAATCTGGTCACACACTCCTGTGCATTCAAAGGTCCCTGAGAGCCACCCAACCATGGCCACTTGATGACGCAAGAAAGGTTCACTGGTCAGGACCAAAGGAGCCCCTTTCGTGGCCAACAGGAAGAGCAGGGTCTGCCCAGCAGCCTGGCAAACATTCTCAGGGGCCACTCTCTCTAACTTCCCTGTATCTCTCTCCCACACCAGCTGGGAGAGGAACAGAGAAGAGGAAGTGTAGGGTAGCCAGTGGGCACACAGGACACGCCTGTGCTCCCCCAATTCCATGGGGCCGCCCCCAGGCAGTGCCCCAAGTCCTTCGGTGTGGAGGGCTGCGGGCACCACCATGCACATCCCCTAATGCAGCCAGCACCAGGACGCTGCCTGGAAGATAAGGGCACTCAAGGGCAGGCAGGGGCTGAGGCCGCCTCCTGTGTCCGCAGCATCCTGAGGTTGGTCTAGTGACCCAGATGACCCAGGTCCCCACCTGCTCCCCTCTCCGAGCAGCGCCCCCAGCCCAACCCGGGCTCTGGGCAATGCCCAGGTGGCGCTGGTGGGGCAGTAGGCTGACCCTGGCTCCGAGGCCCGCAGCCCTGGCGCTGAGAGGAGCTGCCCACCAGGCCCGGTCTCCGGCGAGGGTCCAGGCCGCGCCCCCAGCCCCAGCCTGGCTGGCGGGACTCACCTCGCAACCCGGCGGTGCCTCCTCCGTCCCTGCGGCCTGGGTGGCGCGGCCACCGGCCCGCTCGCCCCTGCCGGCCGACCCACAACTTCTGCCAACCACCGTACTGCCCCGCTGGCCTTCAGCGCTGAGTGGCGGAGCCGCCGAACGCCCAAACCCGGCTGGACCCGGTCCGCGTCCGGCGCCCGCCCTACGCCGCCTCCGTAGCGTAGCGCCCGGCGGGGGCCCCGCGGCTACGGCGCGCCCCGGGCGCACGCGGCGCTGTGAATCGCGCGCCCGAACTACCGCTCCCACAGAGCCGCGCGGCGCCGCCAGGCCGGAAGCTTCAGGCGGCGTCCGGCGCGCGAGGCAATCCGGGAGTTGTAGTTATCAGGATGGCAGCCAACGACAGCCCCGACTGGCGCCCTCCAGGGGCCTGCCGACTTCCAGAGCAGCCCCACCTGCCAGGGCGACTGGAGATGGCCGGGCCCCAGGACCCGGGCAGCGCTGCGTACCGGGTTTGGCGCGGAGTGGCGAGGAGATGCACCGAGGCCGAAACTGGGACTACAGCTCCCAGGAGGCCCTGCGCGGCTGGAATAAGCGGGGTCTCCAAGTACGCCCCAGTCTAGCCGTTTCCGGCTGCGCCTGCTGGCCGAGTTGCGGGTGTTCTGGCCGTGGAGGGGCTTCCTGGACCACCACTCGACCCCACCTTGGCCCCTACGTGTCCACGGGGCTCGCAAAATTCCTTAGTTTTCTCTAGGGCCGCCTCAGTCCCTACCCCACCCCTCTTAGCTGCCTCAATTGTCTCTGCAACTTGTCCGCATCCTTGGTTTCCCTCAAGGGCTTCACGGTCAAAAGTTCCAGTTTTGGTGGCACCGGCGTGGGTCTGAGATACGGCCTTGGCACTTACAGTGCGACTAGGGCACATTACTTATCTGAGCCTCAGTTTCCTCCTCGGTAAAAGAGGGAAACTTGGATCTAATTGGGCGATTGAGAGGTCGAAATGAGATACCACCACAAAAAACGCGCCGCCCAGTGCCTTGCAGGAAGGAAGGCTTGAACGGTGGGAAGTCGGTGTTTCTCCGCAGAGACCTAACAGAACCCGCCCCACTGCACAAAAGAGCCTCCTCGGGCTCAGTCTCTCCCTTTAAGTTCCCTTTGTGCAGCCATGAGGTCACTTTCACACCCAGCAGTCAGGAAACTGGAGCCCTCTGCCCTCTGTTGCCTAGATGCCCTGGAGACAGCAGGACATGCAAGATAACATGTCAACAGTTTATCAGACGCAACTGAAGCACACAGAGGCTGCACTGGGGAATGGAGATGTTGAGGGCAGAGCCCCAAGGACTCGTACTTAGGGGCACGTGAGGAGCCTGAGAAGGCACTGGCCATGCAGAAGGAGACAGAAGCAAGGCACATCAGTTAAGACTCAAGGAGTGTTTGGTTGTGGTCCAATTCTGCCTTGAGGTCGAGTGGAGTTTGACAGATGGGCGTTTGGATGATGTTTGCTCCAGTGCCCAGAAAGCCACGGGCAGTGCTTCATGCTCCTCGGAGGGCATTCAAGCCCCATGAAAACCTGTTTTACTCCCCAGATGCTGTAGCAGGGACACCAGTGTCTCAATGTGGGGGTTTGGGCTACAGCCACAGCTAAGATAGAGCTGCGTCCTGAGTGCTCCAAGGGGTACAAGGCTAGAGAGTGACACAGCCCATCCCCAGCTTCCTCTCCTGTGTGAAGGTGACAAGGAGATTTCTGACCGTGTGTGGCTGTGGAATCACATGAGAGGCCTAAGTCAAGGGCTGACTCCTAGCGGGGCTCAGGGGACACAGGTGCCCTCCCTCCCCAGCCCCTTTCTCTTGGCGCTGCCTTGGTGCTTGTGTCAAAACTGGTGTCCGCAGCCCTGTAGCCTCCCAACAAAGCAGTTGACGTTGAGCCTGGTGACCTGATGGCCCAGGTTCCTGCCAGCTCACTGAGAGTTTTGAGGAGCCAGGCCCTAGATGTGGGTGAGAGAGGAGGCGCATCCCAGTGCTCCCCAGGGAGGGACCAAGGCCTGCTGGAGTGGGCAGGAAAGCCCAGCCACCAGAAGAGGGTCTCGGGGGCAGTGTTCAGGACAGTGTGTGCACTGTCCCAGAAGGGAGCTGGAAAGAACAGGGTCCATGTGCAGCGGTCGGCAGGACCAGAGCAGCAAGATAAGGGGCACAACTGTGGAGTCAGTCTGGGATCATCTCAAATATTCTGAGGCACACGGATGTAAGGTTTAAATAACTATAAAGCAGAAGATAAGTGACTGAATATCCGGACCTTGTCCAGTGCCATCCCAGCCGGAGGACACCACCCTCCCGATCTGAAAGATACAGAAGATAGCTGCTCTGAGGGAAGAGGGAGCAGGGAAGTGTGAACCCACCTGGAGAAGGAGTGGGGAGGGCGGGGCAGAGAGCCCCAATTCCAGAATGGGTGACATAAATGTAAGCGTTCCTGTGCAGACTTGTGTCCACACGGTCAGCGGCTTTGAGACACAGCAGGGAACAAGATGTGCCCAGATGCCCTGTGGACAGAGATTCTAGTGGGACAAGGGCACAGGGACCATCATTGGTGTGACAGGCCCGTGGGCCCTGAGGCCAGCAGATGGACCAAGGGCAGGACCCACCTGTGCTGGGAGAGATGCAACTCCTGCGCTGGCTGATTTTGTGAAATGACCCGTAATGGCGTGCTTGAGATGCCCTCACAGGTAAAAAGGGCCCTTCTCTGGGCCTCCGTCTCCTGGTCTCTGAAATGCTAGATGGAGGGGACAGGTGCTGGGGCACCCCTACTCTAGGACAGGCTGGAGCAGGCCTGAGCTAAGGGCTCAGGCAGAGCACACGGGACAGTTAAGAGGAACCAGGGCCGGCCATGCATGCACCTGCCAGCAGTGTTCTTCCAGGGAAGGGGCAGAGCCTTGTCTGTGCTTTTATCAGGCAGAATTGACTACTGGGGGGGCTGTGGCCAGATGCTTTGGGGTTGGGGGTGAAGGGACCCCCACACGAGAGGGACCCTCAGGTCTGAGAGGTGTAGGCCTTGACACTGGCCTCACATATCCCACTGTGGCCCCCTCTTCAGGCAGCTCTGCCTGGGCCCCCCCTCCTGGCCCTGCCTTCAGCCACCTTCTGGAAACTCTCTAGGCAGCCCTCCAGGCACTGCTGTTTCCCTTTACAATGGATTTTCACCTTGTTCTCGCCCCCCCCCCACAATCCCAAGTGTCTCCCTTGGGGCTGGAGACCCCTGGCAGACCAGGGGCAGGGATTTCAGCATTGGCTGTTATGGGGCCCCCATGTGTTTAAGAGCTGGCAGGACTCAGCAGGGAGAGAAAGCCACTCTTCTCCCCTTCCCGGTTCTGGCCTCATCTGACAGAGAGGACCCCTCCCCACCTCTAGCTCCCACTCCTACGCAGATATGGGACCCGCAGGCACTAGGCAGAAACAGGGGGGTCGGGGGGCAGGTGTCATCCAGTCAAAGCAGAGGCACTGGCCTCTTCGTGGGCCAGCAGACCCCTAGTGCAGCTGGGCTGGGGACAAGGCTCTCCGGACACCCAGACATCCTGAACCCGCTGCAGCAGCGCTTTGGCGCCCCCCAGTGCTGAGTGGGCCTTCCATGCAGAGCCCCACCAGGAGCCAGGGATTGAGCCCTCACCCCAGGCCCCAACACAAGGCTGCTCTCCTCGTGAGGTTAGGGCCACATCCTGTGAACGGACTAGATAACAGAGGGTGTTGGACTGCCTCTTTGACAGTGGCCTGGGGAGCTGTGCCTCCCCCCACCCCAGACCAGGAGCACAGGTGAGGGCCTGGGGAGCTAGCTGTGCAGGGCCCTCCCCTGGAATCCTGGAGGGAGGTGGGCTCCAGGCGGAACCACACCCTCCCGTTTCTGCCTCAGTGTAGCTTCAAGGGCTCCTGGGCCTCATACTGGGGACTCTTGGAATCCTGTCGCTGCACCACCGGCTGAGGATGAGGCCTGGGGGCTGCAGGCCAGGGTCTGTCCACCCATCTCCACCCTCAGATCAGCCCCATGGGTAGCAGTTGGGGCCAGCAGACCTGGGTTCAAGCCCCTTCTCTGCCCAGCTGGGTGGTTGGGGGCAGGATTCTCAGCCTCCCTGAGACTCGGATTTTTTGAGCTCTGCATGTGTCTGGCATGCAGGTAACTCAGTGTGTGTGGGGGTGTCCACTTTTGTGGACGCCTGGGCTGGGGAGTCAGCTACCAACCCCCCCTCTAGTCAGATTTGGTCACTTACCCTTAGTAACCTTCTTGGTGGTGTCCCTGTGACTACAGTGGCAGCTGAGCTTTCCTTTGGGCTGGCCCCCCGCCCTTTGAGCCCAATCCCATTGAGGTCTTGGCCTTGTCTGTGCCTTCGATTTGGGGACTTTGGGCATGGCCTCTTTGGGAACCCTTCTCTCCATGCTTGATCACATGTCCCTCAGGGAATATCCTATTCACCAACCCCAGAGACTCGCGATGCTGCCCCCTCAGCCTGGCTGGCCCTTGGTGCCATGTTGGCAACTGGGCTGCACTCCGGGGATGGGTCCTACCATGAACTCATGGCCCCTGGAGCCCATCCCCTGGTCCTGCCCCAGGATTGCCCTAGGCTGAGCTCCGCTGGGGTCCGAGCCTGCAGGTGCCATCCCGGGGCCTCCATGTCCACAGCGAGGTGGTCTCCTGCTGTCTGAGCTCAGATGACACGTGGCCCCCCCCACCCCTCAGATACCTTGGGGGTGCCAGGACAGGCCCACGGCACCCCACCCACCCCAGCCATTGGTCCCCATAGAGGAAGGAGCCAGCCTGTGCATGTGCAGCAACAGCTTTAATCTGTGGTGACATCGTCCTGGCCTTGCCCTTCCGTACCCAGGTCACCGTCACTCTGCCTGGAGGGTCTTGAGAAGGAAAGCAGGGCGAATGTGCAAGTCGGTGCCTGAGTGTTTGTGTGAAGCATCTCCCGGCAGCTCGTATTTACAGTTTCAGTGCTGCTGGGTGATGGCCAAAAAACAGACCCGAGGTGGTGTCGGCAGGGTGGGCTGGGCGCGGAAAGCGATTTCAGTATTTATTACCATATATATATATATATATATATATATATATATATATATATATATATATATTTCTATATATATATATATATTTCATGTGTATACACAGATAGTTTTCTCTCTTGGAAGTATTAAAAAATTGATCAGCCTTCAATCTATAAAAAATACCT